GGGTGCGGGGAACCTCCCGCATCTAAATATTGGCCAGAATAAATTAGAGGTTGGTGATAGTTTGTTATCTTATCCATGCTCTTCCAAAAACCCACCAAATCCCCCAAAGTTTTAGTTCTATGCAAGATTACGTTTTTGCTTTTCTATCTCACTCTCAAAATATTAAAACAGTTGCAACAATTTTTGGGATGTGGAACCTGGTGGGATGATGATGATGATGATGACGATGACGATGATGATGATGATGATGATGATGATGATGTCCTTCCCTCACTAATTTTGGACATGTTTTGTCATGACTCTTCTCTGGCAATTTACTAGGGTATCAGAAAACCTGGGGACTGCCTACTGTTGTATAAATGATTAAACTCCCATAATACACCCCTTAAGTGGCTCCCACAAATGAGATCTGTTGAAGAACCTCATCAACTATTCATGAAAATATAACTGGTTGTTGTGTGCTTAAAATCAAAACAAATGAAAACGGTGAGGGGAAAAAATGCAGGAATAATCTTTAACACAGTGACTATTTGTTATGAAATAAGTAGCAAATCAACTGAGCAAGTATGGAGGAAAGCAGTTCTGCTCCTACTGCTAAAAGATAGCATTGAACATTCACAGGGGATTCAGAAGTTTCCACTCAACACAACAATTATTCATGGAAACTGCCCTATCAGGATATTTAGGTATACCACAAACTTCAACACCCATTACTTCTTTTCCTAGGACAGTGATGGCGAACCTTTTTGGCACCGAGTGCCAAAAAGGTCGTGTGGAAACATTTTTTTTTTAATTTGATTTATATGCCGCCCTTCTCCGGAGACTCAGGGTGGCTTACAATGCGTTAAGCAATAGCCTTCATACTTTTGTATATTTATACAAAGTCAGCTTATTGCCCCCACAAACTGGGTCCTCAGTTTACCTACCTTAGAAAGGATGGAAGGCTGAGTCAACCTTGAGCCTGGTGAGATTCGAACTTACAGTAATTGCAGACAGCTGGTGTTAATCACAATGCTATTAGTCTGCTGAGCCACCAGGCTCATGTGCACGCTCATCAGGACCCTGCTCTGGAAAAGCCAATCTTCTGAGTTCTGGTGCGAATGTGCACCTGACAATCAGCTGGCCAGCATGCATGCACACACCAGTTTTCAGCATGGCTGTGGGCGGGAAGGACAGCTGATTGTTCCGTGTGCATGCGTGCCAGAAACCCGGAAGACAAACAGGCAAGGCCATGTGTGCCATGCGACATGGCTTCGCATACCACTTTGGGCACACGTGCCATAGGTTCACCATCACGGTCCTAGAATGTTTTGAAAATATCATACTTGCTGCATCTTCTACTGAATGGTTCGCATTCCCAGAATTCATTGGGAAAAGCAATGACCAGTGAAATAAATTACTTTTTCCTAACAAACCACGACTTCAATATCGGTTCGTTCTACATATATGTCCCCGGAGATCTACTTTACTTATCATAAGTCGTCCTATTGCATTACACTCTGCTGTACGAAGTACAGTAGGTTCAAAGTTTGGTAAATACAATTTTCACATCATTATAAGATACCACACCCCCAAGGGATTCCCTTCTCTGAGCTTTTGGTTTTATTGAACTTCTCTAAAGTCAAGGACCCTAGAAAGAACGTATGTCTTTATAAGTGAAGTTATTACCACCAACATGACAGTGCTTCACCCTCTTGAGAATTTTTTAGACTGCTTCTATTGAGACATAAAGCCTGGGGAAAGAGGGGATTGTGCACAGAGGAAGGATAGAAAGGGAAGGAAAAAAAATGGAATCAACGTAAAGGTTCCTGATTCAATTGTTGTAGCTTTACTGGAAAATGCAACAGTCAAGAATGGTGAAAAATATGAGTAAGAGAAGCAGGATTTAAAAAAAAAAAAACGGGGAGTTTATAGGGATAGCTAACCTTTTTGCCATCGTGTGCCAAAAGCGGGGGGGGCACAGGGGGGTCGCGCATGCACGTGCCCACACCCATAATTCAATGTGCCCCACCCACTACGCAGGAACACATGACCCCCATGTGCAACCTCCGCTTTTGGCACATGATGGCATGGTGGGGCCGGTAGGCCCGTTTTTTGCCCTCCCCAGGCTCCAGAGGCTTCCTTGGAGCCTGGGGAGGGCAAAAACTCTGGTGGCTCAGCAGACTAATTAACATCCACTTACATCTGCTGCCTGCAATTACTGCAAGTTCAAATCTCACCAGGCTCAAGGTTGACTCAGCCTTCCATCCTTTCTAAGGTAGGTAAAATGAGGACCAAGATTGTGGGGGCAATAAGCTGACTTTGTATAAATATACAGAAGTATGAAGGCTATTGCTTACACATTGTAAGCCGCCCTGAGTCTCCGGAGAAGGGCGGCATATAAATCAAATTTTTTAAAAAACAAAAAACGGCCTTCCCCATCCCCCTGGAGTCCCTCCAGAGGCCGGAAACGGCCCGTTTCCTGACTTTTGGTGGGCCCGGAAGCCCCGAAAATCAGCTGGCTGGCGCATGCCCACAGATATGGCTCCATGTGCCACCTGTGGCATGCGTGCCATAGGTTCACCATCACGGTTTTGCTGCCAAGAACTAGAATGGACAGCACAACTATATAAAATATACAGGACAATAATTTTCCTGGTTGCCACATTATAGGAGACATCTTAACCATTGATGCCTACTTTATAGCATAAGGCAACTTGTAGCCATACAGTTAGAATGCTGGTTTGTGGCCATTTGCATTACAAATACAAACTGACCACTCTTATAACATTACTTTGGTCCTTTGATTATAACTTTAGTTGTGTGAGGACCCGGATTGTGGGGGCAATAAGTCAACTTTGTGTAGAACAACACCGCTTTGGGGGGGGGGCGAAAGCCCTAATAAGCAGGTATATACAAAAAAGTATGCAGGCTATTGCTATAATGCATTGTAAGCCGCCCTGAGTCTACGGAGAAGGGCGGCATATAAATTGGACTAATAAATAAATACAGCCATCCTATTCTTAAAGGTCTCAGAAGACCACCATTGTAACTTCCCTCAACATTTGGTACCTTGCCTTATCTTATCTTGTACAATTTATCAAATTCAAATACATTTGACTCGATTACAATTTTTTGCCACAATTTTCTTTTTTCCCCCCTTTTTTAAAAATCATATCTCAATATTTCTTTGCTTACTTGTATAAACAACCTCTTCATTTGCCCTCAAATTCTAATTTTCCTGCTTATTCATATTTATTCTCTTTTATTCTTTAACAATTCATTCTTTATCTTAATATATTTGGGTTTGTTCGGGGTTGCCTTTCTTCCATTTCATCTTTTTTTTTATTGTACAGCAATCATTCTCCTCCAACCTACCATCTCCCTCTTTTCTTTCTTTCCTACTTTCTCTTCCCCTCCTCTTCTCTTCTTTTATCTACTTCCCCTCCCCTTCTCCTTCTCTTCCTCTCTTCCCCCCTATCTTCCCCTCTCTACTAATTTCCCTTCCCTTCCTTCCTCCCTACACTTCTTTCCCTCTCTCTCTTTCCTAAGATATGGCCAATACTCTGTTCAAAAAAGATGTAAGTGAAAGTGGAGGGGGGGGGAGAACCAATAAAACTTGATTAAAAAAAAACACATTTGGTACCTTGCCGATTGGATAGAACTAAGCAACCAAAATAGGTAAGCAAAATTCAAAAAACTTAATTCCTAACTGGAGCAGTTTTAGGTAAGAAATATGTCCTTCCACCCATGAATGACCAAATTGCAATCCCCAGTGACAAATTTTACACCTCATAAAAAAAATAAGATTCTGGCTCTTTTAAAAGTGACAATCTCCCTTCAATTGACCGGAGCATCTGTTTCATATCTGAATGTTTTTTAACCCAGTTTCGCTTTCTACAATGACAGAGCTGTGCTTCTATTGCATTATTATAAACCAATGTCTTAACAAACAGTCTTCGCCTTCTTGTAAATCAGAGCTGCAATTTAATCCATTTGTAGACATGAGTAGGAATGGAGAACTGTGCTCGTTTCCAAAAGCTATATTTGTGACTACCCCACTCAATATTAATTTTAGGGTTGTTTCCTTCTGTTGATTGTTGTCAGGCACCTAGTTTTTGGGGATCTAGACAACGAGTGTAAATGTCTATTCTTGCAAGTGATACTCAACTCCGTAAGAGTTATAATGCGGGGAAGGGGGAAATAAAATTGTGTTGGCTTCTGAGAAACTTTGAGGAACCGATCCAAGTCAATGAAATGAATTGGCAATTCCAGACTCCATTTAGCATGAAGAACAATTTATGAGATCCTGCAGAGCTTTAATGGGTTCCACCTAGTCCAGATTTCTTAAATTCACAAGCATATCTTGCTAGTTGGACTAAACTGTAACCTCTCTTTTCTTTTGCAGATCTGCTCTTCTGCATGCAAAGGAAGAAGTGCCACACTGCCATCTGCAGACAAGAGTTACCCCCTAACACGCACATTCAACAATCACATTTTCCTTATAGCTAAAAGTCATTATATTTCTTCCTTTTAGTACTGATGAATCACAAACTATTTACTTCTCAGTTATCTATCTATCTATCTATCTATCTATCTATCTATCTATCTATCTATCTATCTATCTATCTATCATCTATCTATCTATCGTGTTTCCCCCAAAATAAGACCCAACCGGAAAATAAGTCCTAGCATGATTTTTCTGGATGCTCGTAATATAAGCCCTACCCCCCAAATAAGCCCCAGTTAAGATTGTCAGCCAGATGGGTGCATTTAGTACCCTATTTTCCCCAAAATAAGACCTAACCAGAAAAGAAGCCCTAATGCATCTTTTGGAGCAAAAATTAATGTAAGACGCGGTCTTATTTTTGGGGAAAACATGGTATCTGTCTGTCTGTCTGTCTGTCATTATCATCTATCATTTATCCACATTCTAAGTGTAACACAAGGAAGAAACTAAATCAGAAAGGTGGGAGGGTGACAAAGCAAAGAAAAAGACGTAAATCAAAAGTTGTTCTTACCTGTCTGGTGTGGACAGAGCCAGGAGCCTTAAACCCTCCTTGACAGCTGCATTCGGAGACACTGTATGGGTCCGAGCTACTGGAAGAACACTTGGAGAGGGAATCACAACCCACCACAAATGTGTTATCCAGAGGCAGTTCCTGTATGACATGGTGTTTCTTCGGTGGTACTGGAGTCTCAGGTTTAATCTGAAACGTGGGCTGCGGAGTGGCAGACTTGTAGTGCTTTGCTAAATCTGGACTGTCGGGTTTAAACGTGGTTGGTGTCGTGGCCCAGTTATATTTTCCCATAGTCTGTTCTTCTAGCTCTACAGGGATGTCCAAGGTGCCATTGATGTGTTCGTGGCCAGGTTCATCAGGCTTAGATTCTTCAATGGTCACAAAGTTTAGAAGAAGACTTTTGGGAGACCGCTTCTTCTTTTTCTTCTTCTTCTTGATCTGACGGTTTTCTTGATTTGGAGAAACCCACTCGCCACTCTGTTTGCTTTTCTGGACCACTTTGTGCCTAGGAGTTTGGCGACAACGTACCAGAGCTGTCACAAAAATGACCAGTATCACCGTCATGGTGCCTGCGATAATGGCAATGATGATTTTGACATAGTCATTGGTTTGTGGGGTAATGTCTCCATCCCCGACGTTTTGGCCAACCGGTGTTTCCATGTTTCGGCGCACCAACTCTTGGACGTAGGATCCGTTGGTGACTGTTTCATTCACAAATAAATGCACTAATGCTATTGTGTATAAAGATTCAGGCTGCCCTAAATCATTGACTTTGATTACCAGTCTGTGCAACCCATGATCTGCTGAGATGACTTTCTCCTTCAGAGTGACGTTGCCTGTTAACTGATCAATCATAAACAACCCTCGCGAATTCCCACCAATAATGCTATAACGCAGCTCAGCGTTCATCCCAGTATCGTTGTCCACAGCAAACACTTTCGTCACTACGGAGCCCGGACTGGCGGACATCGGAACCAAGTCATAGGAGTAGTTGGTGGAAGGAATGACAAAAACAGGCCTGTTGTCGTTCACATCGACAACATTGATAGTCACTTTAGCTGTGGAGGTGCGTGGTAGCCTGCCCCCGTCCACTGCTTTCACCTGAAAAGTATAAGATCCTTGCTGCTCCCTGTCAAAAGTAATATTTGGCCTTATGACTCCAGTGAGAGGATCGATAATAAAATTATCTTTGCCATTTAATATAGACAAGGTCACTATTGCATTTTCTCCAGAGTCCGCATCTGTCACAGTGATCAATCCAACAGTGCCATACATAGGTAGATTTTCCGGCACGTAGAAGTTGTATTCGTTGTGCGTGAAAGCAGGGCTGTTGTCATTTTGGTCCAAAACAGAAACAGTCACTGTTGCATTGGTTTGCAAAGGTGGCATTCCATTATCTTTAGCCAGCACTGTGAATGAATAGCGATCTTGTTTTTCTCGATCCAGCTTCCTCACGGCTGTCAGAATGCCTGTACGGCGATCCAGGTTGAAAATAGGGGGAGCATCCAATCCCAGCATGTAGCTGATTTCAGCATTGCGGCCGCTGTCGGCATCAGTAGCACTTATCTTGGTCAGCTGGGTTCCAGGAGCATTATTCTCAGGAATGGAGAGCCCGATCACGGGTTGGGTAAACACCGGGGCGTTGTCATTTTCATCTTTGATTTTGATCAGTAGCATTGCAGATTGGTTCAAGGGTGGCTTTCCTGAATCCGAAGCCACTATTTTGATGGCATATTCTCTGGTGGCCTCGTAGTCTAAGAAGGTCGCTGTTTCCAGGAGAAACTGATTATCAAACACCGGCTTTAACCTGAAGGGGACATCGTGGTCTGTGAAGCAAGTAACTTTGCCATTAAGATCAGCGTCCTTATCCATTACAGTTATCAGGGCAATCTTAGTATTGAGTGGTGCTTTCTCGGACAGTAATACAGTCCCATTGACTGGATTGATAATGTACCTCGTGTCTATTGAGGGGATGTTATCGTTAATGTCTGTGACATTCACTGTTACGGTAGCTCTGGAGGGTGTGGAACTGCCATCACTCGCCAAAATGGTTAATTTGTGTACTGGGGATTCCTCCCTGTCCAAGGGCTCCTTGACAGTGATAAGACCAGTAATATTATCGATGGCAAACAGCCTTTTGGCCAAACTGGAGATCTGGCTGCTAAAATAAAAGTGAATCTGGGCATTGGATCCCAAGTCGGCATCAGTGGCATGAAGTTGAGAAACGGAGGTGCCCACAGGTGCATTTTCAGGAACGCTGACTTCAATATCATTCTCCTTGAAGACCGGACGGTTGTCATTCACATCAGTGACGGTGACTTGGAGAATGGCTGTGCTGGATCTCGGAGGGTTTCCTCCATCCTCTACTTTAATCTTCATCACATAGGTGTCCTTCTGCTCCCTATCAAGGATTTGTTGCACTATCAACTGGGGCCACTTGTCTCCTTCGGGTGTTTCAATTATATCAAGTCCAAATACATTTTGACCCTAGAAAGCACAGAAAGAGAGAAAGGGATATATTACTGCATAGATCTGTTATATACACAATATGTCCTTTTTTCTGAATGATATCAATCTGAATTTCCCCCACATATGTTTATGCTTTGGTGTAATGCCAAAGAAGATGCAAGTCTAAAGACTTGTGACCTTGGAAACAAATCCATCTTAATTACATGAGTCATCTTCTTTAGTAAACTATGATTACGAATTGATCCTACATGTAATTACAGGCTGTAATGCTTTGAATTAAATATATTCTTAGCTTTCAAAATATTCAAGGATAATTTGTTTTTTAATTGTTATTTAAACAATGACCTGGTATTCTTTCATGAGTCATATATGGGTTTGAGATTCTGTGATTATCCCTCTTAGGAATGTCCGGGAAAACCAGGAAGCTCGTATGTACCCCATCCATCATCTCTACCATCTAATGGACTGACATTCATCAGTGTCTTTTCCAAAGGACCATCTAGAGTTTTCAAAAGCTTAGGAAGTGGTGATAATTGAGAGTCAACATGCTTACAAAAACGGCAATAATAACTAATAGGGTGTTTCTGATTAAAAAATATCCATGAGATAATTGTCTATTGTAGAGTTCCCCAACCTTTCTGGGTTGATGGCCCAGAGCGGAGGGTGGGGGGAGAGAGGGGATCGTTTTGTGGGAGGAGCAGGAAAGTGCATGTGTGTGTGAGCACCCATCGCTCATGTGAATGGGGCCACGAGGCCCTGTGATGCTCATGCGAGTGGGACTGTGTGCATGCACGGACATTCACCAGACAGCCACTCACATGGCCCAGTTGTGAATAGGCTATGGATTGTAGTGGGCTGTGCCCACAGGTTGCGAACCCACTGGTGAAATCCAGCAGGTTCTGACAGGTTCTGGAGAACCAGCGGCAGAAATTTTGAGTAGTTTGGAGGCTAACTCTAACCCTAACCTGCAAATACCACCTCTGACTGGTCCCAGAGTGGGATGGGAATGGAGATTTTGCAATATCCTTCCCCACAAAAGGTATGTAAAGGAGGTCCATGTTAAAGTAAAGATTGAGAACCACTCCTTTAAACTATATTCATTAAATTGGGGTAGGAAGGAGAAAGCAATTCAGAAAGACTTCTTTTGGTGACCTATGTTGATAACATGACAAGCATAGCTTGTGGAAGGAACGGGTAGTTCCTTCCCGTTATCTCATGGGCTTATCAACAAACATTTATTTATTTATTGAAATTTATGGAGTTACCCATCTCAGTATAGTGACTTTGGGTGGTTGATTAAAGATAAAAAACATGATACATACAACATCTGTTGCAGACTTTTTAAAGACTTACTGCCTCAACAAACCCAGATTACTACCCTCACTAACTCAGGACTGACATTAAAATAATCAGCTGCTTCCTTGGTTTTGTTCCTTTCATTGGTGGTAGTTGGAAGTCGGAAAGCATTAAACAAGGCAGCTGTTTGCCATCAATCATGTTCACAACTAACCATAAGCTATGTCTATCATGTCATCCAAGCATGAACTACATATCTTTTGAGTGATGGGTTCTTCCTGTTTACACCTTGGACATTTAACTACCATCTTTGCTAAAGAAGAAATAGTGGTATTTAACAAGAACCATGGAAACACTATACAATAAAAAGAGAACAATGGCCACCCCATTTAAACAGTGTGTGTACAGTAGTGGCCAAAATTGTGGAAACCTTTTGGGAAAAATGTATTTTCTAAAAATTAGCTAATAACACCACTTTTTTTTTTAGTAGTACCATAAAATTATATATTAATGGAAAGACAATTTAATCAAGAATGTAATGCAATACCTTTTATGAAGGATTTGCTATTAGAATAGCAGTTACGGTATAAAGAAGAAAAGTGAAACACGTAGAAAAAACGAGAGAGACAAAAATTATCACCATAGAAAAAATGAGATATACAAAAATGATCACCCTGTCAGTTAATACTTCGTTGGGTAACCTTTAGCATGAATTATGGCCTTACAATGTCTTCCCATGGAGTGAACCAAGTCTTTTAGTTCTGCAGCTGTTATAATGTGAAACCAAGATTGAATGATGGCTTCTTTTAGCTGGGCTTTATTGCTAGGTCGCTTCTGACTAACAAGTTTCTTTAGTCGGCTCCATAGATTTTTCAATTGGGTTAAGGTCTGGGCTATTCCCAGGCCATTCCAGCAGTGGAATAGGATTATCTTGAAACTCCAAAAAAATAAAAAAAAAATGAAAGTGGTGTTATTAGCCATCAAACCTCAAAAATACATTTTTCCCAAAAGGTTTCCACAATTTTGGCCACTGCTGTATATATCTTTGTGGGGATTTTCTGGGATGGATGTCCTGTTTTATCTAAAAGCTTTATCTTCGTCCACGTCTAACAAAAAGCTAGCAAAATGTTAGCCCAGGATTCAATGCATCCCAAGTGGCCTCCTAGCAACCCAGCTGGTTATAGCAAGTGGCAAAACCGAACTAAACTTGGCTGATGTAAAAAAAATTTAAAAAAAGCTAAGCAGAATCAGACACAAGCTCTTTTTGGATGACTGCCCACCCAGAAGATACCAAGGCTTTAGGCGAAGACAAGCAAGTTGAGAAGAACAAAAGCAATAATTTTGTAGTGCTGCCAAGAAAGAAAGAAAGAAAGGGGGGGAACCCCTGTCAGGTCCATAAGGTCACCGAGAGTCAAGCTTGACTTGAGGGAGGTTTTATCTTTTGAACCTTTTTTTTTTAATCGTGGCCTTAAGCTTTGCAACGAGAGTTTGAAACGTTATTGCTCACCCCCCCACTCCACAAAGCAGCTTCTGCAGCACTTCTCAACTCTTTAAATGTTCCCCAACTCTTCTCCAACTCCAGAAAGCCTAATGACGTGACACATCTTTAAGTTGGAAGAACTTGTGGATGGATGAAGATGAGACTCCAGGCAATACAGCTGTCCTCAGTCACACAGTACAGCTGCTTTGCATATCTAACATCTGACTGCCAGCTATTTTCTGAACATGAGTCCCCCAGTCATTGAATATTCTTTGTCATTAAATATTTGCCATATTCGTGGGTTGCCCTATTTTTTTTTTTTTAAAAAAAGTACGAATTGCCAGCAACTTTTTGGTGTGGAACAGAAATGGCCAAAAATTGCAACGGAGTGTTGCAAGCAAACCAAGATAAAGACAGTTCAGCATCTCTGATTTTTTTTAAAAAAAAAATATTTATTTAAAAAAAACCAGCATGACTTTCATGCAGGGGTGAAATGCTACCGGTTCGTACCGGTTTGTGCGAACCGGTAGCGGTGATGGCACATGGTTTAACGAACCAGTAGCGAAAAGCTCCACCCACCTGCCCAGACGTCATTACTTCCTGGTTTTAACCTGTTTTTGACCCTCTGCACATGTGCAGAAGGCTTTGCACATGCACAGAGGCTCCAAAATTGGATGTGACATGCATGCGTGCACGGAGTGCGCACTTCCGAACCAGTAGGGAAGGTAAGTAGATTTCACCCCTGCTTTCATGGCTGTGGTAAAAATCAGGATTCCAAATATTACAAATAATGCAATCATTATAAATGTATGATGAGCGTTAAGGAACCAGACGTAGGTCTTGTAGGTCATGGCATGGGGGGGTCTCTCCTCATCACGCTAAAATCAATACGTAGGAATAGAAATAAATTCTGCATATAGTATACAAGAATAACGTCTGGGTAGAATGAACAGGGAAATAAAGGTTTTCACTTCCAGATGGACGTATCAATCTGGGAAAGTTGAATCCCTCTCCTCATTTTTCCCCCCTTTTAAAGGAAAGGAGAGAGGGAAGAAGAAGAAGAAAAAAAAAAAAAACCCTAGCAAAGACTTTTCCCCTAAGGAGAAAGAAGTGATTAGTATTCATCAATAGCATCTCTGTGAATGATGGAAAATGATGCTGACGGGCACCAAAAGGAACACTGCCACCACAAACAAAAGAGAGAGTGATAATGGAGGAACACCAAGGACAGAGGTGAAAACACGGAAAGAAGGATCCAAGGGCAATCTCATTCCTTCTTCACTTTTCCTGGCTGTCGTTTCCTGGTTTTAACGCAACCCTTGCAAATCCAGACCAGAGAGGCCCAAGGTTTTGTAGTCTACAACAGAACCCCCTACCCCCTGGTGGGTTTCTGACGGTTCGCCCCGGTTCAGGAGAACTGGTAAGTGGCGTAGCAGGAGGCTCCACCTACCCACCCGGACGTCATCACGGATGCTCTGCAGAAACGCCACACACATGGTCACACAGTTCCTAACTGGTAGCGAAGGTAAGTGGAACCCACCACTGGTCCCCCGCCCCAACCTTTTGAGCACCAGGGATCAGTTCCGTGGACAAAGTTTTTTCCCACGGATCAGAGGGGGCGTGGCTTTGCATGCTGCCTGCATACCGATGGGGCTTCACCAAGGTTTTGCAGTCTACAGCAGAGGCCTCAAACCTTTCGGGCACCAGGGATTGGTTTCATGGAGAACATTTTTTCCACGGACTAGAGGGGGCATGGTTTTGAGTGCTGCCTGCATACCAAGGATGGGGCTTTGCTTATTTGCATGGCCCGGTTGCTGGCAAGCCATGGACCAATGCCAGTCCACAAACTGGACCCCTGGTCTATAGATAACTCATTGGGCATTTTTACATGTCAAGGCTTAAGGCAACTGAGATCCCTTTCCCACTGCCACAATTTCCCCCTGTCCTAAATACATAGGCACGGAAGGCTGTTACCTTCCCACCAAAGGTGGTCCCTATTTTTCTACTTGCATTTTTTACCTGCTTTCGAACTGCTAGGTTGGCTGAAGCTGGGACAAGTAACAGGAGCTCACCCCGTTATGCGGCACTAAGGATTCGAACCGCCGAACTGCCGACCTTTCTGATCGACAAGCTCAGCGTCTTAGCCACTGAGCCACAGCATGGCCCTAATGTAGACTTGTACTCTACAGTAAATAGTTTGAGAATTGTAGGCACATTTTTTTTTTCCAGGGTGTGTGGTTTCTTTTTTTAATCACTATTATTTGCTTGCAAAGCTCCTGAGTTATGACTGGCGGTGTTTTGTTTTCTTTTGCTTGCGAAATTGGGAAGAAGAGAAAAGAAAGCAACCTCACAGAAGTGGGAGAGTTTGCTCCCCTACGCTCCTTTATTTGTATGCAATCTGACAATCATGCATGGATTCTTCCGTCGTTACCGCTGCAACTACAACTCAGAGATTTTTAAAATTCAGGCAGAGGCTCTCCATTTCATTTTTTTTTAACAAACCCAGATGATGAGAGCTGTCATTTTTTTTTTACCTTTAAAAAAAGATAAAAAACAAGATGCTTGCCCTGTGTCTATTCTAGCAGTGTAATTCTTGACTAGGGCAGGAAACTTGTGATGCAATTCCTGACCCCCCCCCACATACACCTTTTTTTGAGATTTCAAAATAGTTGTAGAGGAATTATTATTTATTTATTTTATTTTATTATATTTCTATACCGCCCTTCTCCTGCAGGACTCAGGGCGGTGTACAGCCAGGATAAAACATAGCATATAAAATTTAAAAACATTTTAAAAAACAATTAAATAATTTTAATTATAAGTTTAAATATAAGTTTAAAAGAGGGCAAAATTATTTAAGTGCCTATATTAGTGCACGGCAACACATATACAGGTAGTATACAGGTTGTGTGTTTGCCTGTGTGGGGAAGGGGGACAGAACAATCGCAAAGTTCTAATATTAGATGTCATGCAGAACCCGAAACTTAATTTACTAAGGAGATTCCTTCAAGATGTTATAATACAACATCGACTTATTGAAATGCGCACTTACCTTCACCATTTCAAATATATAGAAATGTTTCAGTCATGTTTCAACACCCATTCTTCCCGCAGTTTCAGCATTTTGAAAAAAAGGACTGGTGTCCCTTTCATAGAACAATTATTTGACTATATTTAAAGAATATAGGGAATATTTGAGTGTGGGTATGTAATTACCTGTTCATTTGTAATGGATCCAAAAGTCCGTTTCGGAGGTGTTTTGGGCTGCCATGTAAATACAAAAACGAGAAAGTATCTCTTTAAATGTTTCAAAAAGAACCAGATTTTTTTAAAGGATAAAGAACAATCTTAATTCAAATATTTTTTTTAAAAATTTACTCCTCCATTCCTATGCAGCTACCATGTTTCCCTGAAAATAAGACCCAGTCTTATATATTTTTTGAAACCCGAAATAAGCTTGTGGCCTTATTTTCGGGGAGGTCTTATTATTTTGGGGTGCATGGAGCAAGATGGGGCTCCCCTTGCTGTCTTACCTGATTTCCAGCTCTGTCTCCCTAACCCTAACCAGAGGAAATGGCGGGGACTCCCCGCGCATGCGTTTAAATATTTTTGGGGAGGGCTTATTTTCGGGAAGGGCTTATTTTAGCACATGCGCTCAAAAGCCCAATTGGGCTTATTATCAGAGGAGGACTTATTTTTGGGGAAACACAGTAGGCTGCTGAAATGGACAAGAAATATTCAATATTTAGCATCTCTCTTCTGTAGAGACATATGCAAGAACAATGCAGGATCTTGAAATAAGGAATAAAGTGGGACTTTTTTAAAGAAATGCACAAGCTTCCAACAAGAAAGCCAGTTCGACATAAGATAGACATATTCCAATGCTTATTTTCTTTGCACAGGTATCTGTGAGTGAGATGGGCATTAGCTAAATTTGTAGTCCTCGACTTATAATACTTCAGTTAGTGACCATTCAAAGTTATAACAGCACTGAAAAAAAGTGACTTAGGCATGTTTTTGTGACCGTGGCAGCTTTCCCATGATCACGTGATCAAAATTCAGAATGCTTGGCAACTGGCTCATATTTATGATGATCGCAGTGTGCCAGGCTCGCCTTTTACAGCCTTCTGACAAGCAAAGTCACTGGGGAAGTCACTCATTTAACAGCCACAGCAATTCATTTAAGAACTAATGGAAAGAAAGGTTCTAAAACGGACCTTTTCAAAATTCACAGCAGAAATTTGGGACTCAATCATGGTTATAAGTCAAGGACTACCTGTGAAAAAAAATTAATGCCCATTTCTTTGATTCTCAAAAAAAAAATTCCAAGATCAGTCTTGGAACACAACAAATAAGGACTTTTTCTTGGATATTAGCCAATTACCTTGCAATCACTTGTTTGCAACTGGGTGAATTGCAAATCCGCAAGTTCCTAAAAGTTTCCTATTTTTGTAAGTAATGCAATATGTTTCTTGGGCTGCCGAAACAGAAAATAATATCAGTGTTGAATGGAAAAGGGAAAGCGGGAGAACCAGATCTCTTGCTGAAAAGCTCCCATGTCTCTAATTTACTTCTAACGTAACTCCATTTTTCCCGATGCAAAACTGTGCAGAATTCTCTAAGTAACATATCGGCTATTCATCGTATGGCAGGATAATAGAATAACAATAACAGAGTAGGAAGGGACCTTGGAGGTCTTCTAGTCCAACCCCCTGCTTAGACAGGAAACCCTACACCACTTCAGGAAAATGGTTATCCAATCTCTTCTTAAAAACTTCCAGTGTTGGAGCATTCACAACTTCTGGAGGCAAGTTGTTCCACTGATTAATTGTTCTCACTGTTATGAAATTTCTCCTTAGTTCTAGGTTGCTTCTCTCCTTGATGAGTTTCCACCCATTGCTTCTTGTCCTGCCCTCAGGTGCTTTGGAGAATAGCTTGACTCCCTCTTCTTTGTGGCAGCCCCTGAGATATTGGAAGACTGCTATCATGTCTCCCCTAGTCCTTCTTTTCATTAAACTAGACCTACCCAGTTCCTGCAACCGTTCTTCATATGTTTTAGCCTCCAGTCCCCTAATCATCTTTGTTGCTCTTCTCTGCACTCTTTCTAGAGTCTCAATGTCTTTTTTTTTTACATGGTAGCGACCATCATAATAACAAAGTGTAAACACAAAAGAATATAAGGATGGCTGAAAGGAAAAGCTCAGTTTTAATTCAAAGTAAGAACAATTCAAATGGCTGGTTATAAACGCATTGTTTGAGAATATAAGCAGCTTAATATTGTCATGTCCTGCATCAAAAAATATTGTAGTAGTTCTTCTAGATTTGATGGACCATTAGACTTATTGTAACAAGCCTAGCTCTTATGCATGCAATTATTCAGTCAATATATAACAAGGGGAGGGGAAACAATGAAAACAATGACCGTGGGATATAGAGTACGATATTTCTTGAGCTACAAATCTAAACTTTACCTCCTTTGGTTTCCCTTTCAAAGTACGATCAAAAGTCACATTACCCTGAAATCAACTACACGAGGGTAGTAGGACGTGCAGAGTTGACAGAATGGAGCTGCGATATTTTGTGATCCCATGTTTAGAATTTAGAGACCTTCCTTCTAAGTGGGCAACGGACACCAGTTGTCAAACCGTCTGGCCTCCTGCCAAGTGTGGACTAGCTGGTAGACTGCACCAAACTCTCATGCAAACGGTAAGACTCAGTAGTCGAAATCCAGTTAAGTGGCCTTCAGACATTGATTTTAATCAGCTTAAGCACTTTATACACTGTGTTAGATGGAGAACAAGATCTTTCTCTAATAATGTCATTAAGTCTGCAAGCTGAAGAGTTTGAGTAAGTTCCATCAATCTTTCCAGCTAAGCATGCTGAAAATTTACACGTTATACCAGGGGTGGAATCCAGCAGATTCTGACAGGTTCTGGAGAACCGGTAGCGGGAATTTTGACCAGTTTGGAGAAGCGGCAGTGGAAATTTTGAGTAGTTCAGAGAACCAGAAAATACCACCTCTGGCTGGCCCCAGAGTGTTATACCTGCGTTATACCCAAGGCATAGATGGCTTTCCATCCATAGACTCCAGAGGATGGTAGAGGATGCTGGAGGATGTCCATGGGGTCGCGATGGGTCGGACACGACTTTGCAACAACCACCACAATGTTTTGAAGTGTAGCCATCTGTCAAAAACAGGGCTCAGATCCACCATCTTCTGCGATGTGTGTTCAGTAAGTAGTCAGCTTTCCATAAATTCTGGAATCTAAGGTCTTACCATAACCTACCACATCAAGAACACAGGTAAAGGGGATATCTGAAGAAATAGATCCATAATACTAAATGAGGTTGGGTTCTTCTTAACAAGAAACTAACATCTATTAACAATTTCCTCTGTTATTAAGTAATTATTCAGGAGAACAATGAAAATCTGCAGAGGTCCTTTCTTGGTCTCTGCATGATCCACTTCACACAAAGTCAGAGGACCTAAAAAATGGAAAAGGGATGAAGAACAAAAGAAGCTAATTCTTCTTCCCATCAAAGTCCATTAGCTCTGTGGAGACACATTTATACAAACTAGGGAAAGCAGGAGACCAATTCTATGTTTGAAAGACAGATTAGAATATCAGTTATGATGGCGCTTTGCTCTAAATACGGCAGTTTCTCTCCAGCCTGAAGGAAGATTCCAGAAACATCAACTTTTGTGGGTGGGGGCTGTATTTTCCCCTATTGTGACAGAAGCTAACAGGAAAGTTTGCTGTTATATAACATACTCAGCCTACAGCCATAGCAATGAAGTGCTATTAGCACATTAAAATTTATCCCAAGATTGTTGATTCTGCAGTCAAAGTTCTGATTATTATTTTTTAAAAAATTAAATTATGAGGGTGGGATGCAGTGGTGGGTTTCAAAAATGTTTATTACCGGTTCTGTGGGTATGGCTTGGTGGGCGTGGCATGGCTTGGTGGGCATGGCAGGGGAAGGATACCGTAAAATCTCCATTCCCTCCCAATCAGCTGGGACTTGGGAGGCAGAGAATAGATGGGGGCGGGGCCAGTCAGAATTTTTACTACCGGTTCTCCAAACTACTCAAAATTTCCGTTACCAGTTCTCCAGAACTGGTCAGAGCCTACTGAAACCCATCCTCTGGTGGGATGCCTCAGTTGGTGATTTTCATGTAAAGAAGGGATGATCTAAGTCAGGGGTTTCAAACTCAATTTCATTAAGGGCCAGATCAGGGTTGTGTTTGACCTCAGGGAGCCGGGGTGGGCATGGCCAGCTCGACATCACTCGTGTTGGGGCGCCTGGGGTGGCCCAGCACTCTGCCAGCAAAAATGGACTCCCAAGCTCTGTTTTCAGCTGTGACAACCACCTGCAGCCCTCTGCCAGTGAAAACAGAGCTCAGGAGGGCTGCCTGTGACCCTCCTTGGCTCTGTTTTCACTGGCAGAGGTACCACATGCTGGTCCTTCACTGTTTCCAGGTCAGCCCCTGTGGGCCAGATCTAAGCACCTTGTGGGCCGGATTCAGCCACCGGCCCTTGAGTTTGACATCCCTGATCTAAGTAATGGGGTGATTTCGTACCTGATTAGATGCTCTCAGCAAATATTATATTGGGATCTAACCCCCAAATTAGTAGTATTGATTAAATACCTGAGTATAGTTTTAGGGAATGGACCAGGGGTGAAATCCAGCAGGTTCAGACAGGTTCTGGAGAACCAGTAGAGGAAATTTTGAGCAGTTCGGAGAACCAGCAGTAGAAATTTTGAGTAGTTCAGAGAACCGGCAAATGCCACCTCTGGCTGGCCCCAGAGTGGAGTAGGAATGGAGATTTTGCAATATCCTTCCCCCAGGAGTAGGAAGGGAATGGCGATTTTGTAGTATCCTTCCCCTGGAGTGGGGAGGGAATGGAGATTTTGCAGTATCCTTCCCCTGCCACGCCCACCAAGCCATGCCCACAGAACCGGTAGTAAAAAAATTTGGATTTCACCAATGGAATGGACCAATGGAAGAACTTTTTTCCCTGCATGCCAATTTTAAACCATAAACGGAGAGCCTAGGGCACAGGCTTGGCATTGCTATCAGGAGGTACAACAGCCTATCTAACAAGGACAACAAACTTAAATGAATATCCTTACATGGCTGCTGATTAATCTTCAAATACCATCTGTTCTTGTGTTATTTACTGTAGTTCATTAGATTTTTATCCTAGTTTTTCCCCAAGCGCTCAAAGAAATGTATGTGTATGTTTGTGGTTTTGTGTGCT